ATGGATAACCGTCCCGTTCTCCAGGTCATTCCCCACCTGGCTTTGTATGACCATTGGGTTTCGGCGATTAAAAATTGGTCTATTCAAATGCTGCGTCGTAATAGTGCACGGACAGAACATTGATGCACATGCATGTGGGGTGATTGCGCAATAGAGCTGGGGGGATGAGCTTCAACCCTCAACCAATAACGGCTATCATTCGTCGGGAGGAGTCCTTATGTGAGCTGGTATTGCGGGCATCAACCGAGAGACCAAAATAAATAAATACTTAAGAAATAAATAGGTTGTTTGTCGATAGATTTCATCTTTTTCACAATTTAACAGACTGAAATTAGTTCAATTAGATACACTGCACAAAATGCTTTGAAGCATAGTCCGTGCCAAATGTCAACAAGAATGAAAAGCATTTCTCACAGGGTGAACTTTTCATGGGTAAAAAACAATCCCTGCTAGTATTGAATTATTTTATCTCATCTTACTTCACTTTTCACTGCGCCTACGGAGCATTATTCTGATGGTAATGTGCATATATTTCTTACAAAGAAATCTCTTTTTCCCAAACTATTATACAAGTAACGGATTAAACAAACGTCTTGCACTGATCACGCATCAAAACAAAGCTAGCCAGGGAACTTATTTTCGATGTCCAATTAACCAGTAAAATAGGACACCGGGTTTTCTCGTAGCTGATCAAACATTATCACACTCTTCTTTCTCATATAAACCGATGTAGATTGGCTCTGAACTAGTTTTCTAGGTGAACTGTATCAAATAATTGGGGGTTTTTAATTGATACTTATCTTTATTGGATCTGACACATTTAACACATCGTCATTAGGCTTTGACAACTTTCCTTTCATATCCGTAAACTTGGTCAGTTTCGTATTCAACAAGCATACATTTCTAAATTCGTGTACCCGTGCTTTTCTCCTGTTTTACTTTATTGTTCACCTGTTATGTTTTCGCAATCTCCTAAAGAAAGATTTTAAACTGCTTCGTATTGGGCTGCCCATCACCAGTCATGTGTCTTCAATCCCGATAGGGGAGTTGGTAACTTACCTGTGCGAACGTTTACACATCCGATAAGTGCAGATCTAACTTTCAATTGTTTCCATCGTTCAACTAGATCCCAATACCATTGTGTTTCCTCTTGGATAAACATTTATCGTAACTACAGTACCCTAATGAGCACGTATTCTAGTTAACAAAGAATAGGTTTTCACAGACTTTGTTACCAGTTTTGGGATTTACAACGTTTTTCATTATTATTTTTTAACTTCTCCCTTGCTCCTACCTATATATTTTTAACTGAACTGTAGACTTTATGCCGACAGAAGTTATTACAATACAATACAATAGCTTACCAATGAAAGCGCATTTGACCATGGCCAAATTAACACCAGATTAGATGAAAGATCTATTAATTTAGTAATTGTGAAACATATATCATAGTTTGAGTGAATTTCATTTTGTGAATCGGAGGCTACAGGGTATCTTTACTCTCAATCGAGAGAGCGAGAGAGTCAGAACCTGGTAGTAGTCATTTTATTCGTTCATTTAGTTCGGAATGTAACATCTACCGGGATAATTGTGGCTTGTCTGCGTAGTCGGAATACAAAAATGTCCGGCTTATAGCCTGTGACAACCATCCTGCTTCAACTCGGGATGTTCCGTCCGAGAAATGACTCGCTCCCAGAAATTCTTGTACTTCTGGATAGTGGTGGACAAATTGTTACGTCCGACTGTAATAATCCCTTGAGTCCTTGCCCTCAACTCATGTTGTTCTCGTTGTTGCTATTATTGGGTTTCCACTGCAAAATCTGTTCTATTCAATTATTAAACTTGGTATCACAAATAGGATTGCGCCTAAACTTGTATGATCTTTTGGTCTCGAGTGAGAACTAAAACAATACAATACTGGCCGATTGTGGTGCACTAAAATATTTTCTTTATGGCCTAAATGATTTTCATTATATATATATCACCTATATTAACTCTTTGAGCATGCATAAGAAGTTGTCGCTTGTATACTTCGATCTACGCAGATTCTAGGCTGCATGATTCTTGATTAAACGTGCCTGACCTTGGTTGCGAAGATAAAATAATATCAACATGAACTTTATCAAACTTTAACAAGTATGAAAGCGGAATATATTCTAATAATAGTGACTCACCAATTATCCCAGCTTATTTCCATAAATCCTTGCCATCTCGGTTAATTGTTATGAAGCATTATTTAATCCAATACATAATCCATTATAACAACTGTGTTGAGTAACCAAATGAAACACTTTCACAACCCGGAGAAATTGCATTAAACAAGGTTTCATAATAATAATAATAATAATCTCATGGTGCTTGCAATTCTGTTTTTCTGTTTTGAAGAGAGAGGTCAATGTGCTACCTCGCCATTGGACATTGGAAACAAAATCGCGACACGTAATGGAGCTAAACATAGAAAATGACATCATAACAAAGTGGCAAACCAATCGACTATTAGTGTAGACAAACATTATATTGTAATTATTATCAATGTTAATTTGTTGTTAATAAAAATTTGTTTCATTCTCTTCAGTTAGCTCTTAGCTCATCATGATCTAGGTCAACCACTATTGACGAAATGGGGGAGTATCCGCTCTGTTCTGAACCATTCCATCTGCTGAGTATAAACGAATCACAAAAATCACTGCCATGAAAACTCATCAGGGCTTGTTTGTTATTAGTTGAAAAAAATGTACTTCCATATAAATGCTGTAGCCTATACGAACCGACCAGTGTTTCACAGGGACCCGTTTCTTCAGTTGCTTCGATCAGACCTGTACGTACCTGTACAAACCATGAGAACATCGGAAGTTACACGCGTGAAATCCATCTGAATGTATTATCATATTTATTATAATCGGAAAGTACAACGGAGATAGTGAAATTACTTAATCCTTCCAAACAGGTCAGCATTTGCGACAATCCTATCTTTCATTTTTCAATCCTCAACTGGGATCGCTTCTAACTGGCTGCTCGTACAGCCATATGAAGTTAGTTAGAGGAGGGGATGAGGTGTTGTTACAAATTGACCATGGGCGATGGTGGCAGATGCGCAATTATTTTATAAATCACATTCCGTCAAACTAGGAACGTCAAACGTAGAATACGAAACGCTCTCACAAATGTCTTGAGTCTAGTTGTCAAATTAGCTAACAGGATCATCGACCATTGCTTTCCCAATGTACAACGTAAACCTCATAACGTTCAAAAAGATGACAATTTTAAGAGAGAGAGAGAGAGAGAGAGAAAAACCAATTGGCGGGAGGGGAGGGGGCGGAGCAGAGGAGATAGACAGTCTTGCAACATGTATTACCACAAACCCCGTACCATGTGTGAAACTCGCCAACTCCCCCCCGCCCCGCCCCGCCCCTTCCCAGCTGCCCCGTTAGGTTTGTCTCGTGAACTTGTTTTTTTTTCTATACTTCAAAATAGATTGTGTTACAATCTAAATTTTGTAATTTGCACAAGACGCGTAATGCATTTATTTCAATTATTCTCCGTATCTGATGCACATCTCAACCGGTAACTCGTAAAAGCGATTTCCCATTTGTCTCCGAATTCAGGTTTGTGATAGTCATTCTTTTGTAACAGATCATTAAAGCGGACAGAAAAAAATCTGACTAATCGATAGTTTTGTGCTAATGGTGAAGATTTTCATCCAGTTTGCTTGTAGCCATTTTCTACCAATTTTGTGCGCAACAAGACTGTCAACAAGCTATCTGATTTGCATGAAAGTACGAAAGTGTGTGTGTGTGTGTGTGTGTGTGTGTAGTTGTTACTGCAGAGACGGAAATCTAAGAAACCAAGTTGGCATTCGTTTTCATTTTTGCAGTTATCAAATTTGGGCCTAGTCAAATAGCTTTATCGTATAATTTTGTAACAGCTCTGTACAAAAAAATTGATCGGCTTGGTTATGACACAATTGGAGCTAATCATTACATAACACCACGTACTGTACTCTGAAGAAAGTTACCATTGCGGTTCATCGTTGAACCAACCAGTCCATAGATTTTAGTCATGAAACACGCATATGTTTGATCGGTTCTCGAACTTATCCAATATTGAATTTTTACTCCGAAAACCAATGATAGTTGGGAATAGTTTCCAATTATAAACGCTTTCAAATACCACAATCAGTTAGGAGCATCAAATGATCCATTCTTCTTTGATGGCAGACTGAAACTGATTGGGTTGGGGAGCATATAAAGCACTCGTTATTCTACTATGACATTCAGCATCAGGTGATAGGTCAACGATAAACTACCGTCTTGGTTCATTTCAAGGTATTTTATAAAAATAGTATGGAATACTTCATTTTTAAGAGTATGACAAGCGCTCCAAAGGCTCCAAACGTCAAAAATGCGAAAAATTTGACAAATGTATTTGAATTTGCCGGTTTTGGTGGCTGTCGTTTTGGTTGCCCATTTGGATGAAGAAAAATACTATCGAGAATGTGAATGAAAGGAGCACGAATTGACAAACATATCCGAAAATCCATCACAATTGTTTTTTTTGTACACTGTGTTCATCAACAACGCTGGTTCGCGTGCAGTTTGAGCAAAGCTGGCACGCACTCACACACACATGCACACACAGACACACACGAAGCGGAAGCACACAACACAAGCAGTGTACAGGCAAACAGACACAATGAGGCGTCGAGTATTTGATAAATTATCCCGGGGGAAAACCACTGTTTGAACGAAAGAACGAATTGCTTTTACCACGCCATTCTGTTTAGACTTTCTTTTGGAAGAGCAATATGTGATTACCAAACTAGAGATTTGGAATGATTTAACTTATACTACTATGACTAGACTAATTGAATACTGAGTGTAACGTGCCATGTTTGTAAATTGTAACCACGATTGGTGCTTTCAACTGAAATTTTGACCATTTGTTCTTTCTGGTCGAATGAATGATATGCTAGTTCCTCTTTTTCATTTAACTCGGGCCAGATGTTCAGTCGACACCGGACTCTACTCACGCTGTTTTCCTTGGTTCTGATGACCTTGGCCTCAAGGTCAATTATGACCGCTGTGAATGCGTTCGAGGCCGATGATTTGTCTCTCGGTGAAGAGCTGCCCCAGGGTGTAATCGTCGGGGACGATTATCTGGCAAGAGAATATCCGATATCTGCTTTAAGCAAACGGAACTTTGTTCGCATCGGGAAACGGCATTTTGGTCCCATGTTCAAACGTAATTTCATTCGTATTGGTCGTTGATATGCGCTGTGGACTGGATTTCAATTTGAAAAACTGACTGATTTATTTGTATCGTGGTTGTGGTTGATGCACACACTGTATCGATTGGGATCAAACAAATTGCACGCGCACAGCTTCTCTCACACTAATACACACGCATCCATTCACACATGCACAGGTGCACCAAAACAGAGGAACCGCTCGTAAACAAGTGTTCTGAGTTTGCATATTCACGTCCCATGCGTCCTGATTGCAATAGTTAAATACATGTCTGAAATTGTATTATTTTTCTCATACCTTGTTTTCCTATCCTCAAAAACGCCTCGGGGAATTGGACAAAAGAACAATCTGATTTCATAGTCCCAATGCAATAATTGCTGGTAAAACACGTTCAACGATGTATTGAATTGTGATCTGTGAGGCTTGATGGATCAGAAACAATGGTTTTTCATGATACCTCACGCTCTGTAATAGTATCACAACAAATCATTGATATAATATAGGATGTAGCCGCAAGAATGTGGCCGGATAAGACCGGTTTCATGCAGTGTTGACTTCATGCAAACTGCTTTGGATAAATCACATTCCTAAACGGGGGCACTGTCATTAAGTTTATTATATATCACTTCGACGCACTCAGAATTAGTGGAGTGAAATCTCTGACCAACCTGACATATGTGTTGAATTCAGTGCAGAGCAGTTCATCAAGCGATGTCCACGATGAAACAGCTACTGTCCATTCAGTTGTTTTCTCATAGAGACCAAACATCAAGGACCATGAACCCGGGGACGGTTTTTTCAACCGAATAAAACAACGCTATTTTGTTACGTGAACATTGATCCGCAAAAACCAAACTACTCCATAGCATTTTCCTCTAATCCCATCCTAATTTCGATCTTTATTGTATGAAGCAAATGGTTGAAACAATTGATCGTAAAGCTTTTCAGCAGAATTTGACAGATACACATTGTGGTTAACTTTTAAAACATTTCATTTACCTTTCTGCTGGAATCAAAATGATCTAATCTTGATGCGCCTCTTCATATACGGCAATGTTTGAGCGTGTCTATGTAATGTGATGATAAGCCGCTATATGAATCAATCGTGGATATTTGTTCTGGGTATACAGATTATAAAATGCTAGATTTTACGACAATCAAAAATGTCTGCAGAAGAGAAGTTAAAACTGGATGTTGGGAAAAGGACTGTATGATCTCACGTTTTGTAGACGTGAAACATCAGATCCCCGTTGTCCAATTCGTCAGAACAAAGAGAAGACAAAGATACTGCGATATTTTAACAGTTCTTTTATTCTCTTCAGTCGTTACCACGTAAAACAATCTGGCATTTATACAAGACAGGTTTGACAAGTTACACAGTGGTTAACCGGACAACATTCGAG